GGTTATAGAGTTTGTTTCAAGGTGGAGATTTGTGAGATGTTGGATCGAACTCTAGTATGGTCGAAGGATAACTTCTAGTTCGACAGGAGTTAAGCATGAGCTCAAAGTCTGCTCGCATGCTGCTGTCGAAGATTATGCGTGTTGTAGTCGAATTTTGTTGTTCTAACATACATTAGTCAATATTGCTAGGTTGTTACAATATTGGATTGGACCTTGCTTGTAAGCCCAAGTATTTAAGTTAGCTTGTACCCTAAGTTAGCTTGTAATGGGTAATTGTTAAAAAGCTCATTAGGTTAGTTTGTTATTTTTCTTATAAATAGGATGTTAGTTTCCCAATCTTGGTATAAGGAAAAATAGGAAGATAAAATCCTAATTTCAGGTGAGAGAGGTTATTTTGTTATTCTTGTATACTTGTAATCTTGTTCTAAGAGAAAGGAAAGAGTAACGATTTATAACTAATTCTTGTTGTTTCTTATAGTTTTACCTTATTTTCTTTGTTAACCTTAATCCTTGTGTGTTTCTTAATCATAAAGAAACCGTTTATACTTTGTTTAAAGGTATCCGATTCACAACAGTGATGTTGCTAACTTAATATGGGAGTGTCTTTGTCGGTGGTTGACATTGAGTCATGTGGGGAGTATTTATCGTTAGCCACTATATTTCTTAATTGGTGACTTCTTATTTATTTTGTGTTCAGCAATCTTGTGCTCTATTTTTGCTTATTAAAAACAAACTAGTAAAAGACCCGTGCGTTCGCACGGGTCCATTAGTTGTAATTGGTAAATAATTTATTTGTGTGTACATATAAATATGAAAATATAAATGTAATTGTGTAATGAACCTTAATTATATAAAATAAATAAAATTTTAAAATTATCAAAAAGATAAAATAAAAAGAAAAAAATGAAATTATGTTAATATGAGCTTCATAAATTTCATGGTTTCGTATCTTTTTAAAAAAAAAACAAAGATCTTTCATGTACCAATAAGTACGGCTATACTTTGGGGAAAAATGAAAAGAACAAATGATTTGCAATATATAAGCACAAAATATAGTAGTTAAATTGAGTTTGAATGTCAAAGAAAAAAGGAAAGACACAAAAATAAAATAAAAGAATACAAGTGTGTTACAATCATTCATGATATTGGGTAGATTGTGAACCATCAATCTCCTTAATGAACAAAAGTATTCAACCTGTATAGAAAAACATATATATTAGATGAAAACTCAGAATACCATTTGTAATAGACAATAAATGATACAAAACAGTCTGCATTAAAATACCTATGAGATATTGTGAAAAACTTCCTTGAAGACAACATTAGTGGTAGTATGCATAACCTGTTTATGTTTGTCATGAATCAAAATCTTAAGACTTTCCTTAGTCCTAACTCTAGAAAGTGCGACATACAATTGATCATGATTAAAAACATCTTTTGGTAAGTATAAACCAACATTGTCTAAAGATTGATCCTGAGATTTGTTAATTGTCATAGAAAAAGAAACAATAACTAGGAATTGTCTTCTCACCAATTTAAAAGGCCATGGTGATTGTGAGGGAGATAAAGACATACTTGGAATATAAATGATGTTACCAATATTCCTTCCAGAAATGATCTTAACTTCAATGACATGATTAGCAAGCCTTGTTACAGTGAGTCGTGTACCATTGCATAATCTTTCAGATTGGTCCAAGTTACGCAACAACATAATTGTGGTCCCAATTTTCAACTTTATTAAATGATTAGGCAATCCAGATGTTTTAGAAGCATTCAAGAATTCAGGTGTCAAGTGTTCAAATGCATCAAAGTCAGTTGCTTCAGATCTATCTATAGAATCGCTATTGAAGTATTCTTTTTCTTCCCCTTTAAAACATAAAAGAAAAACGTATTCGCAGTCAATGATAAATAATAGAAATACATAAGTTACTAAATTAAATATAGTACGAAAGCATGAATAATACCTGGCAAAAAACGTGTGATGTATTCATTAATATCATCTACTACTTCAATAGTTTAAGCCAGAATTGCACGACTTTGAAGGTAATTGGAATCATGGTAGTTATAAATGAGATCGGGGTAGGTTCTTTCAACAATAGCCTTCATAGGATATATAAAATTAGAAATAAGAAACTCTTGGGGAATTGTAATCTCAACATAACCATCAATTGGTTCAGACACTGTCCCATCTCCAATTTTTAAGATCCACTCAGAAAAAATTCTACTATCCTCTGTGGTACTTGTCTTTGCTCAATTTTGCAAGCGCATATTTTTTGTAAGTTTGAGTACCTTGCAATGATCCCAACTATATGAAGCATTGATGGTTGCATGAATAATATCTCATCTAGTACCTCTTGGTATAACAGGAAGAATTTGTCTGAAATCACCACCAAAAACAACAACCTTCCCTCCAAAAATGTTTTGGGACGCTTCTCCATTAATACTCATAATATCCTTCAAAGATTTGTCAAGAGCCTGAAAGCAAAATTTGTTAGCCATAGGAGCTTCATCCCATATGATTAGATCAGTCAACTTTAAAAGATCAGCAAAATCATCTTTTTTGTCAATGTTGCAAATGGAAGATTCCAAAGTAGGGACTGGAATCTTAAATTTAGAATGAGTTGTTTTTCCACCTGGTAACAATAAACTTGCAATCCCACTTGAGGCAACTGGCAACACAATTTTTCTTTTAGCCCGAAGTGCAGCTGACAAAGTGTTCCACATAAATGTTTTACCTGTTCCACCATAGCCATATAAAAAAATACACCACCTTTTTTATTTTCTACAGTTTCCATTATTTCTTCAAAAATATTTCTCTGCTCATCTTTAAAAAACCATTATCCAAAAAAAAAAAAAAACTAGTATGACCAACATCAACATTAATTGATTAAATTAAATAAATGAAATTTGATGTTACCTTTAAGTGATGCGTGTAAATTTAAATATACTTGTTGTTGAGCAATCGGATCATATTGTCTCTCATCATAAATAAGCATATTTCCAAGAAAGGAAATTACAAAATCTTTCGGATATGGCATTGGATTGTAGTCCTTCAAAGTCTTCTTATTTTTTTTGCAATTGTGTTTCAATCGCCATAAGTGTTAGTTGTTTTATTTATTCATCCGTAAGTATCAATCCTATGGTAATAAAAAGTCATATTTGAAACACCTAATATTAAAGTAAAGAGATATAAAGTAGAAACCCATGAAATAATTTATGTACTTGGATTTCCCGTCAATATGCGTTGTTCATAAAGAATCTCATCTGATAAGTAAAACCATGAACAATTCCAAACATGTCCGGGTCTATTCATACATGATGATAACAACATTGTAACAAACAATTTTCGTAAAAAAACACCAAAACCCCAAACATGGGCCTCCTTAATTTCCTCAATAAATTCTCTATCGTCTTGTAAGAATCTCATAGCAAAGAATGCTTCTCTAAAAGTTTTGTGTTGTACAGCATCAACAAATTTGATATCTTTATAACTGAATGACCCCTTTTTGAAAGTCAACATCATCCGTAGATAAAATAATTCACATGTGCTTTGAGGAACCCAAATAAGACGACCAATGGTATACCCTTTTTTCCTAGGTTTCCAACTCCTACTTGGTTTATGGTAAACAAACTTAGAGACAAAATCACCATATGTTAACAATCATGCATCTTCAAAAATTTTGTTTGCCTCAAACCATGCTGTAAACATTGATTCGGTTACACTTGGTTTGAGTAAAACATTCCCAATTTGCTCGAAGTCTTTGTAGTATACATAATTTTCTCCTTTTAAGTGAAAATACAATCTTTCAACAATCGGCTTCCTACCGTGAATAAAATATGTAAATATCCTCCAACATGCTTCATTTGGGCATATGTATCGACAATCTAGTTATTGCTTGATTTCATCAATGTGATTTTTGTTAGCACAAGTAGTGTTGTCAGAAGTTTGAATAACAACAGAAATTCGATCAGAACCTTTATTTATGTATTTGAACAGGTACTTGATAGAAGTACTTTGATTGCACCATTCCATGTTGATATGGGCTTCATACTTTAACAATAAACTTGAATTGTGAGGAACCACATGACCATTGTTAAGGATGGTTCCATTTTTCTCAACTGTGTGTCCATTGTCTCTTCTCCTATACACTGGATAGCCATCTTGATCCATAATTGTTGAAGATTCGAATTTTTTTGGGTAAAACTTCGAGCATTTCATGTCTTTCATGTAAGGTGAATTTCGATTTACCAAACCACAAGGACCATGAACCATGTGAGTTTTAACTAAATTGTACAACTTTAGGTCTTTCAAAGGATCAGGAACTTCAACACTAATGATTTTGTCAATATCTTCAGGTGTTGGATACTTGTTAGAAGGATGCAAAAATATCAAAATATGTGCATGTGGCAACCCTCTCTTTTGAAACTCAATGGTGTACACATCTAAAAAATATTGAAAAGAAAGACTTAGAATTAGCATAAAGTAAATAAAATTAAAGTAAAGTTGAGAAATATAACTTACATGCAAGCACTTTGCCTAACACACCGTTCTTTGTTAAATCTGAAAGTAATTTATCAAACTTGATTTTCAATATCCGTGAAATAACACCTGGTTTATCTTGTGCTTTCAAATGAAGAGGTGTCAATACTTTTTGTATCTCAGGCCAATTTGGGTTGCAAGTAAAAGTTATGAATAAATCGGGGAATCCCATTTTACTACAGATAGCCATGCCATCATAGTACAATTGATCCATAAACCTACGACCACCAACATAGAAAGATGGCAAAACCATTATTTTCCCTATGGTTGATCCTGGTGTTTGACTTTGATCACCTTCATTATTAAGACTGTTGTACTTTGACACCCTGAGTTTTGGTTGATTTTTTCGAATCCATTCTAATTTTTCAGACTCTAACATTGTGTAACCATCAACCAAAAATTGTTGGAATAATCGTCGTGATGATAACAATGTCTTAGCTTCATTGATTCTACTTTGAATTCAAAATGACAACCATTCTCTTATGGTTAGTCTGTTTCTCTTATTATCTTGGAAGATGTCTAAGTATCTATGAGCTATGTTAGGCCTATAACCATCTTCTCCATAGGGAAAAATCAAAGGATACTGATAAGCTAAGTAACTTGCATGTATATCATTAATCTGTTGTAGTTGCCCTCCTTTTGTTTGCATGACTATGTCCCTCATTTCAGCTGTGTCAATATCACCAACAACTAATGCAGCAACTTCTGACACAGTTGGTTGATTATATATTTGGCCATTTGTTTTTCTATTAGAAATTAACCTCAATTTAAAGTTTTGAGTATTTCCGTCACTTAACCATTGTTTGGCCATCTGAAAACTTTTTGCACGAGGGTTATGTTCATAAAGCATTTCAGACAATTGATGTACAATCAAGGGATCAATGTTTTTGGTGTCCCTAAAAAAGAATAGAAAATGTAATGTTTTAACATTGTATATATGGATATAATATTGAAATTTAAGAAACGTGATGTGAAGGGATATCCTGCATGAATGTGGTAACGTAACGGTAAAATAAATGAGGTAGTTTAAACATACCTTAGACCTTGCATTCTATTATGGACCTCGTTTTCAGTTTCATAAATATAAAGTTGGGCAAATTTAGGAGGTTGACCTTTCAGTGGTAACAAACTTCCAATTCGATGACACGATTGACCTTGAATTCGAAGTGTTGGTGGTCCACCACCATTGTTAAAACGATTAGCTAACTTTGCACCGGGTGATGTGAATTCAAACATCATGTTGTAAATTCAAATCTGTTGTTGAAACTTCCGGCTAGCTAAACTTTGGTGATCAAACAGGAGACGTGAGAGTATATCAAGAGGTTGTTTTAGTAACGGAAGTTCAACCTTTCCATTCCCACAACATAACATAAATTTGGGATTAGCTGAATGACAACTTTTGTTCATCCTCTCTTGATACCACATCATTGCTTAACAATAACGGCATTCAATTAAAGGGTCCCCGATATCGTAATATTTTACATAAACCAGCACAGGGTTATATATTATAAGAAAGTTAAACTTGAGAGATGTAATCTAAAAATTCCAAACCTTCTGTTGTTCCTTTGTGATGTTCACGAATAACAAAAGCTACATCTTGATCGTCGAATTCTGAACACGTATCATCTTCATAATGATTTGCTACAAAGTATAATGACGTGCTGTTAAAATTCTGAAAAAGACCGTTTTGGTTAACATAATAATGCATAAATCAGTCTACTAATTTGCAAAAGGATTAAAGTCGAAATCATCGTCATTGCCAGTATTAAAATCTAGATTGGAGGTTTGTGTAAAAATTGGACACAATGCTTGGACATCAATGATAGGAACATTTATAGGATTCTGTACATCATGTTCCACTGGCAAAGAAGGTTGATCCCTTTGAACACTACCATTTATTTCCTGGACAGTAGAAATCGAATCATTCCTACATAACAGTGGAAGCAATGCTATGATTAAACAACTAATATGTTATGCATATTCAAGTAAGTTCTAAATGATAATTGAAATACCAAATGATGATTAAAAAAATTTAAAATTATAATACAACAGATAGTTTATCTTTGAAATAACCATGCTTATTAAGAATTTCAAAACCTGCCATATTTACGAAACACATGTTTGGGAAGAAATGCATAGTTAGAATGGAGAAAAAGAATCAAAAGGCATCACTAACAGTGTTTTTGAATATAACTATGAACCAAGAAATAACCATTTCATGAAAAACGAAGATACAATACCTAGGTGGTGTAGAAGTCCCTATAATTTGGTTATGTTGTGGGAACAGTCTTGTGAGATTCTTCGCAAGATTTGGAAGTCCTAAAACTTTTCGAGGTCTGCCACGAAGTGGTTTGCAAATTGTTGGAAACTTATAACACAAAAAAGATTTCATTAGATAGGATATGCAAGGACAACTGTAGCTACCGGTAACTCGGTGAATCACAAAATTGTATCAATAAGTTTGTAATAGTTTAGAATTCTTTTATACATGGTAGTAAGAAACATATATGTTACCTAGGCTGGTTTTTCATGTCTTCTCTCATGGAAATAGTAGAATTATCCCTTAAACCATGTATGTTTGATGGGACAATGGATGGTAAATTCATGTTAAAATTTGGAACGATCACGGTTTTTCGAGGCCTTCCCCGAGTAGGTTTTGCATTGGCTTCAACCCTATCATAACAATTTTGTGTAGGTTAAGCATGAGTATAAAGAAAGCATCATCAATAAGAATAATTTTGACATAGAAAGCAAACCAATATTTGGTTACTCGAGTTACACTCTTTCTGTGTAATTTGTGAAGAACTAACATTCTGGTCTTAGCTTTTGGAAGGCGTGTAAAAGGTGGGTTTGTACCGTTTTATAAGTCTGAATGGAAAAATTAGAGAATAAAGTATGTAGCTGTATAAATTGTACAATAAGAAATTTAACAATGTGAAAGAACATTGTCACAAACCATGAATACTAATGCATTAAAGATACCAATGCACTAAAGGCGTAGGTATGATAAGAGACTTACACTCGTTTAAGAGAAGAACTTGCTTCATGTTGTACAGGTTTGTGTTGTTGCGGTAAAATGTGTGTTAGTGATTCTGTTGCAGCAGGTTGTGTATTTTTATCTGGTTCAAGGTTAATTGCGTCGAAAAACTTAGAAAATAGATATTTCCCCAAGATATGAATGTTGTTGTAGACATGCCTTTCTGTTCTAAATCCATGCCTGGTTTGGCTGGGTTCTGAACATTGAAATTCGGCACTAAGTAACATTCCGTCTTCAACAATTTGTTCAACCGTTTTTTGGTTTTGATGTGACGCGGTTAGCTCGGACAATGGATTTCATGTCGTCATATTATTTGGTGTAGGAAGTTTTGTATTGAGTGTAAAGTGTTGTAGAGTACTGTTTCTTTGGTGCTTTGAACGTGATTGTTTTATAATCATAGACCTACGGGATCTTGCTTTTTTGGATGAAACTGAATTGTTCGTGTTGTCCATACTTGAAATTACAGTGTATTTGAAGAGTGTTTTAACCTGTAAATATAAAACTCAATAATTAAGTAACTTAAAATATCACAGACAACATAAATGTATTAAACTTGTAAGGATGTATAGTAGACAAATCAAGTAACACATGACAAAGGTAGGTGACAACTTGAACAATTTGTATGGGATAAAATAATGTTATGCATCATTATGCAGTCTGGCTAGATTATGCAGAATGGCTTATAATGCTACATACTTGCAGAATGGCTAGATTATGTAGAATGGCTAGATTAGATCATGACAGTGGCAACTGCATTAGTGACAAACCAACATCAATGACACCATCAATACACTTAAATAAACCTCAACATATTCAATTGTATTGTTGAAAGTAGGTAATGTACATTAATAAACCTTACAGTGAAGTAGGGTGCTATAAATATAAGGTATTTATGTGTATGAAAACTACTTTAAGGCATCAGCCATTACATACTCATTAACAAATCCTTGTGATACCTAGCTGGAATGAAGTTGTTAAAGTTGAGTATCATGAACAACAGGTAAATTATCCTACTTCATATATGAACAATTATGCTATATAAAATCTTCAATTGCAACTTGTATTCTTATAGGTCTCGTGTTGTTTGTTAAGTTTCTAATAATTAGTTAAGTAGTTGGATAGTGAGTTAATGGGTAGTTGGTTATCTGTTGAGAGTTAGTGAGGCCAAATAAGACATGTTGCCTACAAAAAGATAGGTGGTTTATAAAGGGCTTATGTTATAGTTTTGTAGTTTGAAATAGGTGGTTTATAAAGGGGAACTAACTTCTCTTAATGGCCTTATGTTGTGGTAGTTTGTCTATATTGTGATTTCTGTTACCCTTATTTTGATGTCATAAGCTAGATAGTTTGGACATTTGTTTTGCTTCTTGAACTCATAGTCATGTTAGTAGGGTTGTCTTGATTTGAGCTTGCTCAATTTGTACCCCTCATGTTACTGTGAGCTGATGTCACATTGTGCCAAATTGTATCTACTTCTGAGAGAGTTTGTTTGCCTTCTCAAATGAATTATGATGTTTAATTTTCAAGGTCTGTCAAGCTTATGAGAACCTCAGTTAGCTGGTATGAAACTTATCCGGCATGTTATAAATCACTGCCTAGTTGAATTTGAGTTTGACTGATGTGTGTATGGCCAACTGAGGTTTTGGTTCTGTCAGTTTCTTACTCTAAGGTTTTCTAACTCCTCTTAATGGCCTTATGAGTGTGTGTGTGTGTGTGTGTGTGTGTGTGTGTGTGTGTGTGTGTGTGTGTGTGTGTGTGTGTGTGTGTGTGTGTGTGTGTGTGTGTGTGTGTGTGTGTGTGTGTTATCTTTGAGTAATTACTCTAACATTGTTGAGATGCAAAGTTCATAAAAACACAAATTTCATCATTTTGCAACTCACATACAAATCTAACATAACCATCCAAATAACTATAAATAAATAGGCCATTGTAATGAAAAAATGCAGAATTTAGTAAGACACGTTATACTAACATTATGTAGACAAAACCTTAGAATAAGTGAATTGGTTTAGATCCAGATGAAGTTTGTTAAAGTGGTCATGATCAAACTGTTCAAAAACAGCATTAATGAACCTCTAAAACTGCATTAGTGTTCATGATCAAACTGAAAATGGCCTTATGGCATTAGGAGGTAAGCAGACCCTTAAAGTGCTGCCATTGTTGTAATCAAAAAGGGTTCTTCTCCATTTTTCAGTATAACCTCTAAGTTGGTTGTATGACAAAGCTTGAATAAATAATACAATTTATTCACAGATGGTTGGTTTTAACAATTATTATAGTGAACTAAATTTAATCGGTCATAATTTTCTCAATCTAGGTAGATATTATCTTAATAGTTGGTAAACTCTTAACTCATACTACAGAGTTTTATTCTTCAAGACCACATGACAACCATGATTTTAGAAGCATGAGGTCCATAGGAAGCATAGATTGTTGCATTTTAAAACAGTAACCAGTAAGGCATCAACCTAGTTTTTATAATATAGAATGACCTTTACATCTAAGATACCAATCTTTAATGATACCAGCAGGTCATCAATGATCCATTGCAGAGTTTGTATGGAAATTTTTTTATAGTTTTATATGAGGGTAATACAACAAAGGTTATGTGTTATCAATACCAAATATAACAAATCTAACACAACCATCCAAATGACTATAAAAAAATAGGACATTGTATTGAAAAGATTCAGAATTTAGTAAGACATGTTAGACTAACCTTTTGGAGACAAAATTCAGAATTTAGTAGTACAGTCTAATGGTTTAGATCCACATGAAGTTTGTTAATGTGTTCATGATCAGACTGTTCAAAAACAACATGAGTGAACTCTTTCAATTGCATGAAATCGTACAAAATTAAGTTATTAAGATTGTTATAGTTTCAAGACTGTTAGAGGAGTAAAGTGCAATTAAATTTGTTGTGGCATATTACAAATTAGGACCTCAAGTGTGTAAGTTGATCATTAGTAAATTAGTTGAAAAAATATGAGTTTAGTTAGACATAGTTATTGAGTATGGTTTGTTTTTTACACTAAAGTTAAGAGGTACAACTACCTACATGACATTTTTAGGCTGCACTGCAGAATAAGTCATTTGTAGCATAAGTTTGCATTAATCTAGGAAGTTAACAACATGTTGCATTGAAGCTTTGTAAAGTATGTCCTACAAATATATGTCATAATGTAGTTGACATGTCTGAGAA